ATCACGAGGGGGGTCTCGTTGGTGATGTGGTGGCATAGCTGTGTTTGAAGGGTGACCCTCTTATTCCCAGTTTCTTTTTATATAAGACGTTTCTAATCGTGTTCGTCCCCTTTCCCTTTCTTCCACCATTTAGAAAATTAGAATACCGTTCATCATTTCGTAACTCTAAAATAATTCCTTTTCTGGCACGATTTAAAACGCACTCATCAATATTATAAATCAACCTAAATTTGTTGATTTTCAACATAAATTATTAATCAGACATGTGTGAAGAAATTAGTATGGTTCTTTTTGGACGAGCCGGGCAAGGAAAGTCATCTATTGCTAACATGTTGATTCAAGGTGATATTTATCAAAAGGCAATGTGTTCGAAATTAATGATGGCGTTATTGGTGCGACTATCACGATAAATTTTAGTAAGAATGATGATTCTATGGTGTACGACACGATTGGAATAGGTGAAACAGTTTCAGGATCGTAGCCCGATCCAGACGACCGAGAACAACATAGCTCGAGTCACTTACATCATGCCAGTAGCTGGAACAGCATACCAACTGATTTCTTCTGGTGCTTATTATGATATAGAAAAACAAAATTGGCAAAAGAACGACTTAAAAATGAAATTATCAGGGGTTTTTTCGATATTGTGATGTTTTTTTTTCTTGCGGCATTTGAGGCGTTTAGTGCATTTATGGTAGCTTGCACGAAAAAAAAAATTAAGAAATCCACATGATTCTTTAAAAGTTCTATTTATACAGTGTATTCAGCTATATGAAAAATAAAAATTTGCAAATTATCGATGGATATATTAAAATAATTAATTTATTAATAATTTAACATCATGAATTTATTAGTAATATCGATGTAAAATTTATCATTTGTTTTATTGGCATCATTGACTGATCCTTAATTTTTGTGATCGACAAGTCCTCCTTCCAATTTAGTTAAGTATTAATTTATGTTACCCTTAAATGTCGACCGATTTGCATAAATAAGCACAAAAATAATTTATGGACATGGTCAATGGGCCGGTATTAGGATATTTTGATCAAATATCCAAATTGCAATTACCTAGTAATTTTTGAAAATGGAAAGACTTCAACGACTTTACGGACTGGGCACCAGATACTCCAACTGTGGATAACACGGAATGGGTTTATATTTCTTCTTTAGCTTTGCTTAAGGTAGGAAATCAAATCAGTTGTCATAAAAATTTCTGGTTTTTGCGTGGTTATTACTGGGTTAGAAAATGCTATTCATCACGCTAATAATTTTCATTTTTTGTATGTTATTTGATAGATGTTAAAACACGGTTAGTTTTATTTAATTTTTGCAAGTATTATTCAACAACAATATATATTTGTTAATATATAAATTATTGATAGGACGTGCCGAAGTACCTATGGAAGTTATGGGTTTGATGCTTGGTGAATTCGTGTACGTGTAATTGATGTACAGGCGTTTCCATAGAAGCGGTCGATCCCAAAAATGTTGGATATGTTGAAGCAATCTGGACGGTATGAATTGAAGTTCTTTTATGTATGAGATTGAGGTTCATGTCTGATTTCGATTAATGAAATTTTATAGACCCGAAATGGTGGTTTGCTGGTATCATTTTCACCCTGGATTTGGATGTTGGCTGTCTAGTGTAGATATAAATACACAACAAAGTTTTAAGGCATTGAATCAAAGGGCTGTGGCTGTTGTTGTTGTTGATCCGATATAATCTGTCGAAGGCAAAGTAGTTACTGATGCTTTTCGCCTGATTAATCCTCAAATGCTTATGCTAGGTCAAGAGCCACGTCAAACCACTTCCAAAATTGGACATCTTAATAAACCAAGTATTCAAGTACGATCATTAATTTAAATCTGTATTGATTTTAAAGTTTATATTCGTTAACTCTTTGATTTATCCTTACTTAGGCTTTGATCCATTATTATTCGATTGCTATTAATTATCGAAAGAATAAAAATGTTGCTCAATTAGCACAAAAAAATTTGGACCCATGGATTGACGCTGCCAAACTTTACGGAACACAACGAGATCAATGGAAAGAGTGTCAATGTAATTTAGACTTACCTTTCTTTCCAAAAAAGATTTTTTTTTTTCGATTTGCTTATGAAAAAATTTCAAACGATGCTTACATTGGCGGAATCTTATAATAAATCGGTACAAGAGGAATCAACCATTACACCTGAACAATTGAAAACTCGACATGTTGGAAAACAGGTTCCAAAGCGTCATTTAGAGGAAAGTGTGGAAGATGTTATGTCCAATAATATTGTAAAGATACTGAGTATTATGATTGATTCAGTCAGTTTCGTAGAAAAAATCAAAAAAATAAAATACAGGGATAGCCATTATTTAATTTACCAATTTTGTTGAAACGCAAACTTTTTGTATTTGAAAAAATTAATACTTTTAAATGTATAGAATGAATGAAATAAATTTTGAAATTTTAAATAGTATAAAATTACAGCCATGTTTAAATTTAAAATTGATCGGAAATGACACGAGAATAATTTTCTTTGTTATTGTTATACTCATCAATTAATTCATTAGAGTTTACATCATTACCAGTAAAGTTGGTAGGCAAATTTATTAGCCGAAAGCCAATACGTACGCCAAATTTAGAATTCAATTAACATATTTGGAAATAAGAAAGCATGCCTTTGTATAAATAAACATTTTTCAGTTTTTTTTCGCGGTTATTTTTTTTATTTTTCACGCGGTTATCCTTTTTTTTCCTTTATAAAGAAACAAAGAAGCGGTCAAGTTTTTGAGCACATCTTTCTCATAGTACCTTATACATAATTATGACCAAGCTATAATGTTCTTTTCTTTTTCATAGCCCTTTCACGAAAAAAAAAATTTCTCATAATGAACCGCGCCCACCTTTAATAAACTATCACGGCTTTTATCTTTCTTTAAACTTTACTCTTGCCGTATCTGATATCTGGATCTCAAAACTTAACCTGCTGGTAAGCTCTTTATTCTTTTTCTTTAATGTAGTGTCCTATCAATATCGACAATAGTTTCCTCTCGTTATTTCGTGAAACATGGACGAATATTCTCCATTACAAAAAATATTTTTTCCTTGATATTTACTCCTAAGCGTCGCCGATATTTCGATCTATCGCATCTATTACCTTCTACGT